CCCCAAAACCCCAAAACCCCAAAACCCCTCTCACCTAGGCCGGGATTGAACTGAAGCTTTTTCTGGAAATAAGATATTATTTTCGATTACGACCTTATCTAGAAACTCTCTCTTTTAAACAGTATGTCCTTCATTGTGCCTAAGCCTGGATATTTTAGAGCTGGCAAACTAGATATAAGAATGAATCTCACCTAATTCTTTCTTTTTGGTATTGAGAGTCCTCTGTTCCAATAGTAGATTCTTTACGCTCTATTTTTGATATTTTTACTCTTACCAAGATCAGGGTTAGGAGTTGAGGCTGTCTCAATAGGGCATCTCTCTTGATCATTGATAGCCTGGATTTCTATTCTCCTCTTCTCTTCTTGCGCTTCATTAAACCTTCTTACACGTAATCAGACAAGCTTTTGATTGAAGCCAAAAAAGTAGAAGAAAGCTGCAACTGAAAGCATCAGAATTCCGTCTATTATGAGAAAATCTACTACAGTTTTTACAATGTGGTGAAGCATAGTTTCGTTCTCACAATCATCATGATGACACCTAAAGAGTAGCATAGTGATCCATACTTATGAGGGGCTATTTCAGCTGTAAATTTAACAAAAGCATTCTCATGTGAAGATTGCAACAAGAAGTAAATATTCTGTACCTCCTTCTCTACTGAGATGGAGACTGCTTCAAAGTTTTGAACAGTATGAATAATATTATATTCAAACTCCTTCTTTTGTGTGTAAACCTCAAGTTCTGTGTTAGTCATATTCCCTATTTAGTGGTTAAACAGACGTTTGGTGTAATCAGATTAGAATTAAATTAACAAATTGTAGTATTGCAGTTTTTCCAAAGTTCTTCAATTTCCGAAATTTCTGATATAAGATCTGTTATCTTGGTGGTTATGGTAGCGTTTATTGATGAAACGAACATTAAACTAAATAGGTTTTGCCTTACATTTTGGGCAGAATGGTATTTCAAAAATTAAGTAAAACTTGAAGTTTTAAGGACTTCTTTAAAAAGCAATGCTTACAAATCTCTAAACTTAGAGTCTTGTTGTTTTCTTGAAATGACTGAACCTTGAGCCATCAAACATCGTTTTCTGGCATATGAGCTTGGTATAGTACCTTCTGTTCTTTCCCAATAATAGTTGTTTCTACACTAGCATTGCAGAATTTTACCCCTGAAGGTCAAAGTAATTTAGCTGAAGAATTAGCAAATCCCGATTGGTCTGATCATACTTTATTATCACCTTTGTTGCAATCAGAGCTAGGGTTATTAATATCACATCAGATGCCACTTTCTTCATTGTCCCTATCTCTTCACCACTTTTGAGCAGATGAATCAATGCACTGTCTACATTCTTGGGACGCAGAAAGAATCCTTTGATCTGTAGCGTCAATAAAAAGTGAGAAAGCTAAAATTATGAGCACTAGAGTTTTCATATTGAATAAATATTTTTAGAATATTTGCAACCTACTTTTGTTTTAAGGGGTTTTGGGGTTTTGGGGTTTTGGGGTTTTGGGG